AGCAGGTTGCGATCGTTTGTTACAGAGGTAGATTGATGGTCTTCAGTTTATGAAGCTTGGTGCAATGGTACAATCAGGCATCCTGTATGTTTGGTCACACTTTCATGGTTACAGGGGTCAGGAAAGTAATTATAAAGCCATGAAGCAGTTACAGAACTAGGCAATTTCAAAAGAATAAAGTTTCAAAAAGAACAATTTCTCTTGTACAGGTTTTCCCTTTCAATATCATGTACAGGTCCAAATTCCCGATGATGAAAGTGATCATGATGTAAACCTAAATTGTACCATAAACTTAATTAAATTTTTTAAAAAGCTTAATCTCAGATTCATATGAGAGCAAAGAGCTAAGAAAAGCCAAACATTACCAGTGAGAAATTTAAAAATCAGTTTCACTCTCACAGATCGCCCTATGGGACATAGGTTCTGTTCTGCCAGACCGGCCGAAGACCGGAAACTGTTCCATGATACAAGAGGGCCAGGAGCTGGAGAGAAGAATATCTGGATTGAAGACCTGGATGGCAGAAGGCAAGAGAAATACAGTCCTGGGAGTGGTACAGGCAGCTGGAGAAGACAGACACTGGTAACACTTGTATTGCACAAGGACCATCCTAGGAAATTCTCTGAGGCACAGGATTATGAAGAACCCAGAAGTGGAATTTTGTGCTATACAACAGCCTTCAGGGAACAAAATTACTTTGTGCTTTAGGACTCAGGTGCTCTTCCAGCTGTTGAGCCATTTCAGAGGGAGCTGAATGAGCTCCTGACATCTGCTGGCACATGCTCAACAAGTGTGAGGCCAGTGGGAAGGACTGGAAAGTTACAAAAACAAGCAGAAATGAATCTGTATTCTGGTTCCTTATTCAGGATACAAGGAGGACAATCCTCTGAAATAGTCTCTTTGTGATCACGTAGGACTCAGGGTTAGAAAGTTGTGCTTATCATCTCTTCTGTCCTTTGCTGAGGTTGGTTGTCCCTATTGACCTATTAGAGCTATTGGGATCTCTGCACAAACCTGTGTGCTCAACCTAAGATATTCTCAGTTTCATTTT